CAACCCAACGGAAAATATTTGGTGCGATTACCATTCAAAACCATCTTCGACCCAACTCAAACGATAGGGCGCTCTCGACAAATCGCTCTCAATCAATTTCATCAGCTCGAACGAAGGCTTCAACGGAAAGAGGGTTTGATGGAACGTTATGCAAAAGGTATGCACGAATATTTTGAATTAAATCAGATTCTTCCATCCACTACCACAGAAGAACACCATTGCACATTCAACGAAGTCAATCAGTTCACGGTTAGTGCATGCGTTTTGGCCCATCACCACGTTTTGAAGGAAGACAGTTTAACAACCAAACTGAGAATCGTGATGGATGCTTCGGCAAAAACATCGAACGGAAAGTCTCTGAATGACATTCTGTGCGTCGGACCAGCGCTACAAAATGAATTACCATCCGTAATTCTGAATTGGAGGTTGAACAAGTTCGTATTCACGTGCGATATACAGAAGATGTATAGATGCATCGACATGCATCCCGACGACATCGCATATCAAAAAATATTGTGGCGAGACGAAAGGAGTGAGATCCGAGAGTATTGTCTTACCACCGTCACATTTGGCACAGCGCCAGCCCCATGTATCGCCATCAGTGTGATTCATCTCATCGCTGAAAATGAGAAAGCGCGATATCCGTTAGCCGAGAATGTGCTAAAAAATGAAATGTATGTTGACGACATACAAACCGGCAGTCATTCAATTGAAAATGCAATCGCCATCCGTGATCATGTCACAGGTGCACTTGCGTCAGCAATGGAGTTGAGAAAATGGGCAAGCAACACGCCAGAATTGCTCGAATCAATTCCAAAGGAACATCAGTGCAGTAGCACGCTCTTGGATATGGATAGCAACGAAACGGTCAAGACATTGGGAATGTGTTGGAAGCCGAGCGACGACGTTTTTAAATTCACCATTAAATTCGATTTACCAACGAATATCACCAAACGTTCGGTATTGTCCACCACCGCACGTCTTTTTGATCCAATGGGATTCATTGCACCGATGATCGTCGTAGCAAAAATGATTCTCAAACGAATTTGGAATTTTCGTCACAAAACATCAGCCGATGAAAACGACGAGAGATCAAAATTGAGCTGGGATGAACCAGTTCCTGAGCCGCTCTGTTCACAGTGGCGACAATTCATCAGCGAATTACCATCGATTAATAAAATCTCCATCCCGCGTTGGATAAGTTATTCACCGAATCAATTAATTCAGTTGCATGTATTTTGTGATGGATCATCGAGCGCTTATGCAGCGAATGTTTATATTCGTCTTCAAGCCGAAGGCGAACGGGTTCATACGCACTTGATTATAGCCAAAAGCAAAATTACACCAACAAAACCGCTCACAATTCCTCGGACGGAACTTTGCGGCGCGGAATTAGCAACGAGATTGGCTGCTTGGGT